TTGTATGAGAGAACTTATAGAAGTTTAGTTTCCAAACTTGATTCAGCGAATGCAACATAATGTTGTGTACTGTTAAAACAGACATGGTAAAGCTTAAACTTCGAGGAAAATATCCAATTTCCTTCTCCATTTTCGTCGAAAGCAACGTTTCCTTTATTTACGCAAAATAAATTGTTGCATAATATAATCTACGTCGTTCAATAAGACCCCTAAATGAGTTTTTAGATCTCACATTGAGTTAGTTAAATAAGTCCCTGTTTTACCTCCTATTGTTGTTATATATTTAAATAAAATAGTGAAAAAGTTCATTAGGAACTACACTGGATTGGTAACGGTAGTCTTAGATCTCTTACCATCCGTATCGGTGTCAGTTATCAGCGATCATACGTTATTATTCTTGTCTTAATCTGATTTAACAAGTGTACGATAAGATAAAATCTGGCAGGTGGCCATTGAACTGTCTGCGATGTATTTTGCAATCGATGCTGCTACGAACTTTTGTAATATACCTTTCTTTAATTAACATTCACTTGGAGTGAAAATAACAAAGTTATCTTTGTAATGCTTGTAGTAAGGGACAAATTTATATTACTTCATGGCAGTGAATTCTTTTGTTCAATGCAAGACGATAATCTTTCCAGGACCCAATTTGATTAACTTTATTTTATACTGGAAGGAGTAAGTACAGTTTTGCAAAACTTCCGTGCTTTTCCCATTCCTCAATAAAAGTTGCTTGTCGCACTTTAATCGACAAATTTAAAGGAATAAAAATTTTCAAGAAATTAAATTAACTTATTAATTATATATATACATATATATATATATAAGAGCCGTGATAGCTCAGTGTCCGGGCGTTCGCCTTTAATTCAATATACTCGAGCAACCTGAGTTCGAACCCCGGCGCCGGCACCAATGAAGTTTTTAACTTTAAGTGCTGAACGGTGACGTTCACGTGCTCCGCGGTGAAGGAAAACATCGTGAGGAAACCTGCATATTTTCGAAATAATAACAAAAAAAATATATTTCGAAAATATGTGAAGTCCGCCAATCCGCAGTGGTGGTGGACTATGCCCTGATACCCTGTATAGAGAAGGCCTTAGCCCAGCATTAGGACATGTATAGGCTGTTACTTTACTTTACTTTTTTTTAATATATATAATCGGAATCTCGGAAACGCCTCCAGCGTTTTTCATGAAATTTAGTATGTGCGTAGATTCGGGGGCGAAAAATCAATCTAGCTAGGTTTCATTTTTAGATAATTTCATTCCCGTTTTAAGGGAATGAAAAATATCATTCGAATATGACGGTAAATTTCGCCGCAAAAAAAAAAATGTAATAATAGCTCGGTCAGTAATCGGGCGGCCCCAAAACAGACGGCCGCGGTTCCTATCACGTTCATTTACACACTTATTTATTTTACTTTTTTTTCTAACAGATCAGTGCTTTCTCTATTTTTTTTATTTCCAAAATACATGATTTACCAAAAAAACCGAGTTAAGCTCGGTCCTGCAGGTAATGTTAATTACGTGCTGAATAAAGCTTTGTAATAGTTATACTTTTATACTTTATTATGACTGTAATTATTACTTTACTTTTATCTTAAAAAAAAAATTGGTATCTATATAAGAAAACTTGTTTGCGAGGAATAAACGAGTAATCTTTTAAATACATAATTATGTATATGTGAATAGCCAGTTGCTGCAATCCATAAAGCGATGGATAGTAATTAGGTTTCTAGAGCAAATCCAGTCATTGAAACGTGTCCTGTGACGGTTAAATTTATAACTTTTGCAATTAAAATTTAATGATCTTGTGCCACGTCACATCCTGATACCTCTTTCCGCGGTCGAATTCGGCATAAAATCAATAGTTCCAGGTAAGGTAATTGAATGAAACCAAGACAAAGAATGATTATTTCTGTTAGATTGTATTCGCATTACGTTTTTCGATAAACCCTAAAGCAAGAAAAATGTTTCCTTGAGCTAAACATTACTTTGGTTAAAGCGCACTCTCTACTTTAATGAATATTGTTTTTCAGATCAAAGACTTAAACTCAAAAGCTATAAAATAGCATGAAGACTTTGATTGACTAATGGCATTCGTGGCATTTAACAAATAGCTCACATAACAAATAAAGATCCTTGGATAAAGTATGAATTAAAATATTTAGAGTAAAATACGCGGACTGTTAGTGTTGTGATGACCAAACACAACAACATTCTACACAAAACATTCCAGTAACATTGTGTATAATACAGAAGATTTAAATGGTGCACAGCACGACAAACATAGCATTAAAAACTTTCGAAGCATACAGCGTCTGTTTAATTCAAAATGTACCGAAATGTATTTACTACTCCTCGTCGACAGATGGCAGGCATGGTCGTAATTAAGTTCATGTGCTGGAGTTAGTGTTTACTCAGAGATTTTAGTTTTGCTGTTCAAAATTACTGTTATGTACACATTTTTATAATTTTCATTACCCTTTTGCTACCGTTTCATTTAACATACAAAAAAATAAACGCCCTTAAGCTCTTATTTTTCATAACTCAAGTTATAATTATGTTCGTGACTTCTTAAATGCATTTATTTATTATTTATTTGTTTAATTCAAACACATTACGTTTAGTCATCACAAAAAGTGTGACTGTCCACATGGTTCAATGATGGGTAAAAATGTTAAGAGACTTTCAATATTACGGTAAGTTTATGATTATTACTATGTAACCTAGCACTTGTTATACGAGTTTCAGCTCCAAATGGTTCGTTAGAAAACAAATGGTTGAGTTATTACGATAAGTATCAAAGTAATACACATGGAAAGATAAACAATATTTTATTTTTCATGGCATACGTAGTAGTCAACTTTATTTAAATAATAATAGTAATATATATTCTAGGAAACATTTTTACACAACGTTCTCAAGCTTCAAATGAAGCGACGCATGCACTATGTTTGCTAGATAACTGATAAACATACTTAAACATACTTTTCTTTTGTAAATTAATACATATTATACTTATAAATACATTATAAAGTTTAATTATCAATACATTACTATACTTATAAAATCATCCGCCTTGGCTAATTGATTAAAATTTGATTATGCCAATAAATATTTATTCCACTTCCAGATTAGAACTATGTTCAATAATTTTTTCTTAAGAAATTCTTTTGATACTGTCCTTTATGTTAGTCGTTCTTCATAATGCGTTCGATGAAGCCTAGGGACTGAATACAAAAACATTAGTAAAAGTATTGTTTTTGTGTAAAAGACTGCTCAAACCATTCCGTGAGTTTTGATGAGCCACAAACGGGACACAGGACATCGATTAATTTCAAGAATAATAATACGAGGCAGTTGAAATAAAGATCCTAATTATATGGGACATCTAAACATTAAAATTGGGATGGTGATATACAAAAAGGTTGAAATTTTATATTCTATAAAGCTAAATCCAAGAACAACAAAACTTGTATGATTGATTACATGTATAAGCTCACTTGACATAAAATGGAGTAAAATAAATACTCATAAAATTGACAGTCCATAAATGATTTGAGTGATTGGGTTAAGTACCGTATAAGAATGTAAAAGGCCCTAGTTAAATTAGTTTATCCCCTGATTGTCCACCACGATGTAGACCATTCTCATAAAGTCTTCGATTAAAATTAAGAGTAATGCATATTTAATAAGCTATTTGGTTATTATACCCTAGTGGGTTAAGGAAGACTAGTGGTCTTCTAGCTATTTCGTAAATGTAAGATGTAAATTGCAAATCATTGATGGGCAGTGTCTTGGCAGGCAATTGAAGCAGAGGGGAGTTCAATTAAATTATTCAGTGGCCCACAACCCTCGGGCTTAGAATTCCAGACGGGGTTGTTGGAATGCACAATATTTGTACGATACACAGAATGTTTGATAATTTGAAGATATATAAATGACCCGTAGGAATGCAGGAGTATTGTACTGAGTTAGTTATAATCGAGTTATCGCTTTTATTGTGTTTAAAACAGTATTAAAATATGTAGAAAAAGTACGCAAAGATTGTCACCGCTGTGGGAATCGAACCCGCGTCTTCGGCATTCGCGGCCTGACGCTTTAACCACTAAGCTAAACGGCTGATTGCCACAGGGATGAAAATCTTAACGTCCTTTATCTACATTGTTTTTAGCATTTGAAGCAATGCTTGGCGCGTCCATTGTTATATCCTTTCCAGCATACAACAGTATAAAACATAAAACAGTATTATAAAAATGTTTCAAAGAAAATTAAAAAAACAACATATAAATATATTTTTGAGTAAGTGGTTCACCCGTATAAACGTGAAGACCACCCATGGGATTTCAAAGTAGAATGTTGCAGGCATATTGTATGTATGAAATCATAGTTTGGTCTCTGTAAGCTAGATCAGTGTCCGAGCGCTCGCCTTTTATTCAATATACCGACTCGAGCAACCTGAGTTCGATCTCCGGTGCCGGCACCGATGAAATTGTTGGTATTAAGTGCTGACTTATCACGGGCTCTGCGGCGAAGGAAAACATCGTGAGGAAACCTGCCTATTTTCAAAATAATAACAAAAGAATACTGCGCAGATATGTGCATTATTGCCATCGTTCTTCTGTAGTTAAAGAAATATAACTTTAATATTCCCTAATTTATAAGATTAAATAACATTTTATAATTATGTAGTATATTATACATACATGCACATAGACGTTCAAGTTTTATGTCTAGTGCCATAGACAGATGTTACGAAATTCTGTTTGTCATGATCCTTAAACACAATTCACAAATGTTAGTACATCGACCCATAAGTTCACATTGGTTAATAAATTTACGCCAACTAACCACAAAGCTCTCTTCTTAAGATTCTGGTGCAATTTCAAGCTATATCTACTTACCATAATAAAGTAAAATAGCAAACATCAAACAAAACAAGTCCTATATCATCGTCACATATGAAACACTAGCACTAACTTTTATTGTTTGTTTCAGATTGGAAACTTAAAGAACTTTTTTCTTTTTTCACACCCTCTTATTAGTAAGAGGTCCCTCAATGCGAGTACCGATTATGTGCATCGCTTAAAAAATGATCCACAGGTAAGTTTTGCAAACTTATTTGAATAAAATTATTTCAAGGGTGTTAATTATATGTAGGTATGTACTTTTTTATAAAACACATATTGCTAAGGATAATTAGATTTTTTTTTTACTTTGTTTTACATATTACAATAGTACCAAAGATTTAAAATAGTAACAAAACATTCACGAAAAACAATCTATTGCTTCATTCATTGTCTTCAAACCAAAACTTCATATAAAGGTACGTCGGTAAGTATTATTTGGTGGTGATCTCAACGCCAGATACCTAAATAATATTATAGTCCGGTCAATTTAGACCAACAAATGAGAGTGAAGTTACATAAAGTCCCAACAAGCTGAATTTCAGTGAAATTGTTCAAAATATAATTATAAACAATGTCTAGAAGTTCCCCATCATTCCCCTGTAAGGAAAAAATTTTATTCGAGGTCAAAGTTCAAAAAAAAGAGTTTTTCGCGATTTTCAGCAAAACGGTAAGTTTTATCATAAAAGTACCTCAGACAAAAATTGTAGATTATAAAATTATCTATAAAAAATGTGTCGATACTTTTTTTCTTACGGGCCACCGTTTCTGAGATATAACGATTCAAAAAGTTATAAAAGTTGTTGATGAGTACGCCACGTATATACATCTAGAGTTGTTATATTTTATAATATATATATGTCTATATATATACATATACATATATAATGTATATATATACAGCGTGTCGTTACCAACGCGACAATAAATGAACACACATATAGAGGATAAATTTTTAAAATTGTATTAAACATTTACATTCTTCAAACATCAATATTTACAGAGTTATAAAATTTTCCAAAACAAACAATTTTAGAACACCCTTACGTATAAAACTGTAACGTAAAGTTCATTTGTAAAGGTCACAAAGCATATGAATGGGTTGAATGAATTTAAAAGAGACAAAACATACTGTTAGAAGGAGAGGCTGGTAATGCGACGCTGTGGCGCGAGTTGTATAGGATGTTACAAATTTTGTTTCTTTTTTACTTAATTAGTTTGTTTGAAAAATATTTTTTTTTTAATTATGGATTTTGTTTAAAGTTAATATTTTTTTATGATTATTGGCAAGTAGTGTTAGACGTGTGTTCATTTATTGTCGCGATGGTAACGACACGCTGTATATATATATATATATATATATATATATATATATATATTAAATGTTTAAATATTTTTCTATCGGTCATTGTAACTTATACTTACAACATAAAATATACATAAGTTTTAACTATAAGAAATACCAGGTAAAATGAAACCCAGTCCCTTAATCTACAAGCCAGTGTAACTTCGAGACATCTGTCTCTTGTTCTATTGTGTGCGTGGCTAGGGTCTTATGAACCTGCATGAAGAAGAAGCAGGAGAAGAAAAACAAGAAGAAGATCAAGAAGAAGAACAAGAATTTGAAACTTACGAATAAGACGAATAAACTTCAACACTTTTTTTTAATTTACATCGCTTTTATCTTTCCCAATCTTTGAAAATTTCCGTTATTATGCAATAGTTTAACATTAAACAGGATCACAACTGACCCGTGGAGTAGGCCTACTGGGGAAACCACGTTAAAAAAACGCGCTAAGTACACTACCTTATAGGTGGCGTGGAAACGTGTGCATATTGTTATGAACACACAAAGGAACTAACGCCATCTAGCGTCAACTATTAAAACCACTAAAGAACAAAGACGACATAAAACCCCCTATTCAACACTAGATGGCGTTAGAGGAACTGCTGTGGAACTATAGTCTCGAAAACCGGGTACATTCGCGAACTTTCCGGAATCACGAACATGTTTGTGCGTGTCGGGTACGTTCCAGGAATGATCTTTCTGGATTAGTCCGGAACCGGTCTCGGCCCATATAAAAAGCCGCGAGGCGAAAAGGAGGCGAGCGAACACAGTTCAGTTTGAGCTACCTTCGAGGCGACTTCGGAGTGAAAACTAGTGATCAAGAGCGATACCAGTAAAACCTACGACTTGGCTACAAAATAGGACAACGTTAGTGCTTAGTGTTTGGACCTAGTGCTTTGTGTTGGACGTAGTGCTTGAATAAAGTCTTCAAAAGAGTCAGCAGGTCTTTCTCTCCAAATCCTTCGATGACGATAACAACTTTTATAACTTTTTGAATCGTTATATCTCAGAAACGGTGGCTCGTAAGAAAAAAAGTATTGATACATTTTTTATAGATAATTTTATGATCTACAATTTTTGTCTGAGGTACTTTTATGATAAAACTTCGCGAAAAATATCGTGAAAAACTAATTTTTTTGACCTTTGACCTTGAATAAAATTTTTTCCTTACAGGGGAATGATGGGGAACTTCTAAACATTGTTTATGTTTTGAATTGACATATGTTTTGAACAATTTCACAGAAATTCAGCTTGTTGGGACTTTATGTAACTTCGAATGTCTAAATTGACCGGACTAATTATATTAACAAGTTTTAATACCCTTCAGAAATTATACTTTTTATTTATTTAAATATTGTTGTGTCCGTGTGAAGGAACCTACCGAAAAAGAGTTTACAAATAGCTTCGTAGTAAAGTTACGATTAAAATTTTAGTTTATTATGATAGATTTTTCCTTTCCTTTAATTGAAAATACTTTAGTTTAAATATTACCTTCTGGATTATTAAAGTTGGGATTGTTGAATTTAATTAAGGGTTGAGATAAAGTAAGCGTTTTTTTTGAAGATTATTTATAATAAAACACAAGAAGCTGTATCATCTTGTCAAAAAAGACTAAGAAACAACGTTCCAGTATTATGTGACGAAATGTTTTTTTAAAAACCAAATGTTATTAATATGTTACAAAAGGTAATGGTGACTATTTAACGGTTAGTAAAGTAACTTTATTAGGCTCCAATTAAGCAAGGCGGTTTTCTGAGTCTACTTATTTACTTACGCATAAGATGACGGCTTTGCTTAAAAAGGTTAGATAAATTGTAGTCGTTATAATTTATTATTCCACTGAACTGTAGTAGGTATACTTTCTTAATTAATAAATAACCGAACGGGCAACTGTCCTAACTCACTTATTGTAAGAAATTATTATATTATCCTGAAATTATGACTCCAACGTGAATTGCGAATTTGTGATACTTAATTTAACGTAAAACGGTTCGTTTTAGTAAAGGGATTGTAATGTTTCGAAATGTTTATAAGTTACAACCATTTTATTTAAACAATAAATAACTAACTAACAGAACAAAAATAAAAAATCAATCTTATTAAACCCGAATCAAATGCAACTTAAACTGAATGAAAATGAAAAGAAAATTCTGTTGTTTGATTCCGGGTTGTTAGCAAAGAGAATTGTTAAAATATGGTAAAATTGAGAAAAATAATTGCAGACTATATACTGGGCTATGATTTAATTTAAAATGTTTTTGACAGGTAAGATGGGTGATGCAGCAGCGAGAGTTAAAGAGGAGAAAAAGGGACCACCAATGGAAACCGCGGCATGTGGCGAGGCAATCCATTGCACCGTCTTTCCCTGATCCATTGTTCAAAGAACAATGGTATTTGGTAAGTTATATTAGTATTTTTACTAAAATTAGTAAAAGGGAAAAAACCTTGCAGTCACAACATACTTCCAGACTGAGATGCTGTGTGGTCTATATACCTTATCAGAATGGTAGTCTTACTAGTTAAATTGTTGAGATTGGATCTTAAGCATTGATTTACCACGATTTTGATGGTAAAGGAAACTATTGTGAAAATACAATGAATAAATAGAAAAATATTTTCAAATTTAATAACCCAATATCTAAAGTCAATCCAAAATGGGGTTGCTTTTCCCTTAGTCTTGCCCCTTACTACCCTTTGGTAATTAGTGGGATGCATAAAATATAAAATTACAGCTTTACTAAATATTTGATTTTAATTTTAATATTTTTGGATTTATCTAGAAGCTTAAGTTAAATACTCTTTGGGTCTTTCATTAATCAACATTACAAAATAAAGCTTTGATGTTTTTAGAACGGTGGAGCTGCGGGTGGATTAGACATGAATGTAGGTTACGCTTGGAGAAAAGGATATACAGGGAAGGGAGTCGTTATTACAATTCTAGATGACGGCATACAGCCTAATCATCCGGATTTAATACAAAATTATGTAAGCATTACATTGTATAACAATACTACGTTAGAAGTCAATAATTACAAGTGTTTGTTCGTATTACAATTAATGAAATTAATAACAAAATGCACGATAATCTTTTTAATACATATTACAATTAACAAAAAACGACTTTAATCCTAATATAAACTTTTAGGATCCTGCTGCGTCAACTGACATAAACGGGAATGATACAGACCCAACACCTCAAGATAATGGGGACAATAAACACGGTACTCGCTGTGCTGGCGAAGTGGCAGCAGTTGCTTACAACAAATATTGTGGCGTTGGCATAGCGTACAACGCTAGTATTGGCGGCGTTCGAATGTTGGATGGTTTAGTAAACGATGCAGTTGAAGCTCAGGCTTTGGGTTTTAACACTCACCATATAGATATTTATAGCGCATCGTGGGGACCTGAGGATGATGGAAAAACTGTTGACGGCCCTGGTCCTTTAGCGAGAAGGTACAAGTCTCTATACATAGATATTTGTTAATAAAATTACGAAAAGCTGGCTGATACATCTCTTGTTCACAGGGCGTTCATTAATGGCGTAACAAATGGGAGAGGTGGTAAAGGGTCTATTTTTATATGGGCCTCAGGCAATGGTGGGAGGCACACTGATTCATGCAACTGTGATGGTTATGCTAATAGTATATTCACGATATCCATATCGAGTGCTACTCAAGGTGGGTACAAACCATGGTACTTAGAGGAATGTTCATCTACACTAGCATCAACATATAGTTCAGGAACGCCTGGAAGAGATAAGAGCGTCGCGACGGTTGATATGGATGTACAGCTAAGGCCAGATCATATATGTACGGTAGACCATACAGGAACTTCTGCATCAGCTCCCTTAGCCGCAGGTATATGTGCTTTAACTTTAGAAGCAAATCCTCTCTTAACATGGAGGGATATGCAACATCTAATTGTTATTACTTCAAGATCGGAACCTTTAGAAAAAGAGGAAGGATGGATTGTAAATGGTGTTAAAAGAAAAGTTAGTCATAAATTCGGATACGGTTTGATGGATGCTGCGCAAATGATTTCTTTAGCAGAGCAATGGATTAATGTTCCCCCACAGCATATTTGTAAATCACAAGAAATAAACGAAGATAAGTCGATCGAAACTTCCTTTGGATACACTATATCAGTGCATATGGACGTGAATGGATGTAGTGGAACAATGAACGAAGTTAGATATTTGGAACATGTTCAATGTAAAATTTCATTGAGTTTTTTTCCTAGAGGAAATTTAAGGATTTTGTTAACATCACCCATGGGTACTACGTCTACTCTTTTGTTTGAAAGAACGCATGATGCAACGAGTTCTAACTTTGACGATTGGCCGTTCTTGAGTGTACATTTTTGGGGTGAGAATGCTGAAGGTCGGTGGACTTTACAAGTTATAAATGCTGGTAATAATCACGTGACTCAAGTAGGTATACTAAAGAAATGGCAATTAATATTTTATGGAACTGTAGCAAACCCGGTAAGGCTGAAAAATAAAAGTTATTTTACCTCGAAAATCTTATTCGAAGAGCAAAAAGGTTATCAGGCTAATGATGTGTATGATGCGTCTGAATATTCTCAGTTTTTGAACGAGATTGAACTAGGTCTTTCTGATAGAAGAAGTAACAGTAACAATATTCCGTCAGCACAAAGAAAAAACGTACTCGCCGATGCTAATGACAAACAAGTACAAAGAATGTGTGACCCAGAATGTGATTCTCAAGGATGCTATGGAAAGGGACCAACACAATGCGTTGCATGTAAGCATTATCGTTTAGATAACTCGTGCGTTTCAAGATGTCCTCCCAGGAGTTTTGTCAATCAGGGCGGTGTCTGTTGGCCTTGTCATGAATCCTGTGAAACATGTGCAGGAGCTGGACAGGACTCATGCCTTACCTGTGCTCCTGCCCATTTACTAGTGACTGATCTCGCGGTATGTTTACAACAATGCCCAGACGGTTACTACGAAGATTCGGATGCTAATGCATGTTTCCCATGTGCTGAACACTGCGACACATGCGCTGATAAAGCTGACATGTGCTCATCATGCGCTCATAGCTACGTTCTTTATAATGGATCTTGCCTAGCCGCTTGTCCTCCAGGCACTTATCAAAGAGATAACTTTGGATGTGTCCAATGTCATCAGAGCTGTGATTCCTGTAATGGTCCGAATGAGACTGAGTGCGTATCTTGTCGTAGTGGAGGTTTTGCTTATAATAGCCGTTGCGTTTCTCAATGCCCGATTATGTTCTACCCAGACAATCAGAAAAGAGAATGTTTACCGTAAGTATTCGTTGTTGTCACTTATATATAATTAGTTACGCGTATAAATATGAGTACTGCCATTCAAAATATTTTTTTTATGCTTATAGGTGTCCTTTGGGATGTGCTGTATGCTCATATACTCTGTGTTCACTGTGTAAAGAGGAATGGACCCTTACGAAGGGTGGAAAGTGTGTTCCCGATGGTAGTAATAAATGTGATACTAGTAAGTTTATTGTTTCTCTACTTGTATACTATACTTAAGTCTTAATAGTTTGTAAAAAATATGCTCATGCTTATTAAAAATGAATTGACAAAAGTTTATTGACTTCGTAAATGTTTTGACTAAAGCAATTTAGTCTTAAGGAAAACTAAATTACTTTAGTTTAAAAAGGTTTAAAAAATAATAAATGTTTTCAGGCGAATACTTTGAGGCAGGCCGTTGCAAAAACTGCCACTCCACTTGTGAGAAATGTAGCGGGCCTAATGAGTGGGACTGTTTATCTTGCTCAAGCCCATTATTATTGCAGGGCTCGAGGTAAGTGCACTCTATCAGCGAGGCTTCCGTTTTAGAAGAAAAATGTTTTGCAAATTAATAATATTTCACAGGTGCGTCGCAGAATGTGGCGCTGGGTATTATCAGACCGCCGGAAGCTGCTCCCACTGTCCGCACACATGCTCAGCGTGCGTTTCGAGATTAAACTGTACATCTTGTGCAGGTGCATTGAGATTGCAGTCGGGCACGTGTCGAGAGATTTGTGCACCTGGATACTATCCCGATGATGGAATATGCTCGAAATGCTATCTATCCTGCCAGACGTGCACAGGTCCCAGGAGAGATCAGTGCGCTTCTTGTCCACCTGACTGGCGACTGGCGGCTGGCGAGTGCAGGCCGGAGTGTCCGCAAAATTTCTTCACATGGGGTGACAGCTGCCGACGGTGTCACCATTACTGTCAGGACTGCCACGGGGCAGGACCGCAGCGATGTACTTCGTGCCCTCAACACTTTTCCTTGGAAAATGGCCTATGTATAGAATGCCTTAGCTCTCAATATTACGAGCCAATGTCTAGAACTTGCCGCCAGTGTCACGAGTCTTGCAGATCATGTTCAGGACCTGGGCCTACTAATTGTGTTACATGCGCGCATCCACTACGATTGGATAGGTAATTTATATTCATGCACTTTTTAGCATAACCGAAATAATTTTAGTCACCGTCTTATTTGGCTTGCATGAGTACAAATGTATCTTTTATAATTTTTATTACAGGGTGAACCATAAATGTTTACCTTGCTGCATGGAAAATGTATCTTCAATGTTCCTTATACCAAATCTGACCAATGACTGTTGTCATTGTGATAAAGACGTGGGTGAGTGAGTAGTCACTATAAAAAATCTTATATAAATACCAACTTGTTATTTCACATCTATTTCTCGTTTGGGATCTATCACAGATGGATATTCTTTTTAATGGTGTAGTTGACGGGACCAGTCCGTACAAGTGAACATTTTGTTTTCCAGGCGGCTGCTTAAATGGATCATCGGCTGGTAAGCGACGCATTGCTGAAAACGTTCGCACGCATTTGACTGCGTCATTTTTCGTTGACGACGGGAAGGATCCACCTAAAATTTTACAGTTAGATCGCAATCTATTGATCGCATGGTGTGTTGGTGCTGTAGTAGGTCTTATCGTTGCTACGGTGCTTGTTTTAATGGTAAGTAGCGACAATAATTATGTTAAATTGGTTAATTTTGCCCTGCATTCATATAATTATGAAATTATTTTAATTCATACCACTAGCGGCAAGTAACAACTCGTGTTTCATATTGCGGGTAGCAAAATATGTAAACTTTATACACTTACAGTAAGATATTTGCATATAATTTCTATCACAAAATATTTAAATTGTTCAAATTGTTTTTGATTCGTTTTCCCACATTAATACAAAACATGTTGCCATTCCAAAGCAAACTGTTAAATATTGTTTATATGTTTTTACGTGTCCGTTTAAACGTCTTTTTCGTAAAAATGACGTAAAATTGACGTATCAAATAACCATCATGACAGCTAATGTCAGTCGAAAGCTTGTATTCTACCGGAAAAATTATAATAGTTTTGAGTTAATATTGCAAAGAATACTAATGCGAATTATTATTAGTTGACTCACAATCAAAGATAGTAAATCTGTCACTTTTTGTATTTGCAAGTCCGTACTTATAGCCAGGAGGCTTGTAGCAGTGCAACTTCTAACACAATGACAAATAAACCTTTTCCGTTTATATTAGGAATTACATAATAAACATTTGTAGCCTTAAAGCAAACATTTTATGTCTTTGCAGTTAAGATCAAAGAAAAAGAAACATCTTAGATTGTATCCGAGGACGTTATATTCACAACTCACCACCGTCGATGACGACCTGGTGAGGCTGGCGACTTCTACCACCAAACTAAAAGTGATGCCAGCCGAAAATGTCGAAATGACTAGCACGACGGAAGAGCCAACATAGCGGTTGCACGTATAGTCAATACATTAAAACGCTATTTTACACCACTGACTGATATGTAGAGGTTTAATTTCGGTTATACTATGTACTACGTATTTCAAACGTCATAGACTATGAAAGACTTCAATGCCACGGATTATGATTTTGTTACGTTCTATAATATTATTGTATCGGTGTTGCTTAAATGTTTTGAAGAAGTGCTATTAAATGGACTGATTAAATATCTTTGCTTTGTGGAAGTAGTCTGTTTATTATTAACTGTTAAGTTTTAGGAAGAAATTGTACGGTTCTGTCTTAAATACATTACGACATAGTCGTTAGTTTATCAATCCAATACCGTTTTGTTCAAAACAATTATTGTTTCTCATTTACCTTGTAAGATTCGGACGTGGCACTTCATCGTATAATTTTCTTTTAATTACAAAACTTTAAACATATTTCTGGTTCATTATTTGAAAAATTAAAACTGATTTAATTGTATAACGATAAAATCATGTGAAATTATTGAATTAAAGTGAAATAATGTTAGTAATCTATTAAAATTATACTAGATAACAGGTTGGACAAACTTTTAAGATCGTGTTATGTTCTTACATAATTTGTAATCCTTGATCTCATATATTCTATTTATTATATACTCGCTAAAATAATTATTAGCATTAAAGGGATTTTTTTTTGTTCATTCGATGGTTATATTACAGATGTAATTTGTTGATGATTTGAAGTTCAAATGTTAGTCACAGATCCTTCAAATTTTGACTAGCTCTAAAATTTTTAATGGGACCTAAAACCTTAGCTAGTCATTTTGTACACCGAGGTAGTAGATACGTTGTGTGGTACGCGATATTAGTTTTAATAAGTTTGAAAGACAAAGTATGAAAATTATGGAAACTGTGCTGAGTTCCTCAGTTATTAAAAACAATAAGCGGTTAAACATTGCAAAATAGTGTAATCTAAGTTTTATGCATGTAAAGATGTAATTGTGTTTGTTATGATAAGATTTTATTTATTGGTACTAAACTATTCATGGTTAACGATGCTACCTTTTGTTTCCGAGATCAACGCATGTTCATATCGCCATGTTTCATGAATTGAATACGTATTTTGAAATATGCAATCGGCAACTAATTATATGATTTTAATGTGGTGTAAATAGATATAATCAAATTATCAATTATGTTAGACGTAAGTTTATGTGTAAATATGTAAATAGATAGCGAGTAAATATATTGATGGTTTTTATGACAGGCCTATGATGTTTTACTTCATTTTATTTGTTTTTTTAATTTTCTCCATGACTGTGACATTTGAAAGGAAGCCAAAAGCAGCTGATTTTGGATATAATATCCATCTCTCACCTATTATTAGATTATGACTACCATTGCAATATAATAATAATATATGAATGAAATTAAGTTAATTAAACAAACACAAACTATTAAGCTAATTCTGTGCTCTTTTAAACAAGTCAATTTTACGAGCCATTATTGTGATAGGCAGACGAAATTTCTCACATAGCTTGTAACACAAATAAAAGCATTATTCAATAAAACATGAAACACACCCCAATAGAACTTGGTCACGTCGAAATGTTGGGAACAGAATGACCTAGATCAAGATATCTAAGTCTTACATGGCAAAATGTATATCATTAAAGTAATAAATTACATGTATATCATTAAAGTATTATTGTACCACACCTAATAACGGTACACAAGTAAGAGGAGGACATAAAAACAAATGGTCCAAGGAATATTTCCCTATCATCTTACTCCTAAGGTCACCCAAATTACGCACGAACAAAAAAACTGACAGCGGTATAATTAATTGAACTAGGTCGCGTGAGTAACGAGCGATATCGGCATGAAAGCATTTGCCAAGTGTTTACCCTGCGGTCATCTGTCACCATAACTTGGGTACTCGGGGGGTTTCAGCTGGATCATTTGTCATTTGTCAAATTCATTTGTTCCCATCGGAAGACCAACTTCGGAGACCTGTCGAGTGAACAAGAACTCAAAGTGAACGAGATTTAAATCTTCGCGAGTTCCTCACATATTTTCCGATAAATAGACATATAGTCCAGCATTAATTCAGCTGTTCAATAGGAATTTAAGAGATATGATGGCGAATGTGACTGAAAATACAGCAGTGTCTATGTCTATGTCTATGTTAAAATTTACAAGTTGAAGGGTTCAATTATTTTATTATGGATGCCATTGTTATTATTCTTGTCTCTGTCTACAATGTCTGTATGAACACTAGGTACACAAGGTATGGTCTCAGAGAAAAATATTGCGTCAGAAAATTTGATCACTTGGTGCTGAATATATATAAACAATATCTTTTATCAAATTAAGAATCTCCTAGTTTTTTGGAGTTTGTAATAATGGATGATAACATTTTAACCGAATTGATAATTTTAAATTGATAGGAATTTGGTTGGTGGCTAAGAAATGGAGATTACGCATTATAGTATTAAAAGTTTTCCACACATCAATTTATTATGCTATTGGGCACTATCGTTTTAAAGTTTTGAATATTAATAAATTGAGGAATATAGGACTTCTCGCGGCAGTTTAGTTTCCAAGTAAAATGGGGTATAGGTTAACCTTTGATGGAATATTCAACTTTATTACCAACCTATGGCCGTTAATGCGGTGAGAGACATAAAGTAAGTTACAACGTTTACGGATCAAAAACGTTACGAGCTTAAACGAAGACATGAATTATAAGATGTGGTTTGAACGGATTAAAACAATTTGACATCGTGGCTGTAGCTTTGCCTTGGAATGGTTGTTTTCGGATCAAGTGAACTATTTTGGAATTTGGCTTCGTATTCTATTAAATATAAATATTAAGATTGAACTGAACAACTTTTTCAAACACCTTTTTTTAAAAGTGTATATTTTTTCAGTGACCTAATAAGATTACATGGGTATGTTTATAACATATTTAAAGTAGCGACCCGCCCCGGCTTCTCATGGGTGCAATGGAGGTACTAATGCCCAACATTAGTACCTCCATTGCACCATAGTTTGGAGTAATTAATAATATTAGACAGGAAAAATAATATCTATATACAATAATTACAGCAAACATGTTTTCCATAAAGGTTACTCTCGAAAGCGCGAGCCGCCGACCGCTCTGCCTCCGCTTTTTAAATCTCTGCTATCATCTAAGATATGATTTTGATTTCATATAACCAAATATATTATTTTACGTTATTTTGATAAGCTACTTAACAACGAGCTGCTACTTAAGTTGTTACTCGATGCTATAATGTGAATCATCAGTTATCCAGTAGCCTAGATATTTAAACATCGATAGTTTATAAAACTGATAAGGATAAGCATTTCTTCTCAGTAATCGGCTTTGAAAACCAAAGAACTGAATACTTTTTATATTATATCACAGTCTGTGTCTCAAGATCTAATACGGTCTTATTTATAAAAAGTTATCGTAGGTTTAAAAGCTCTCTAAAAACAGATTGTCAAAGTATTTATCATAATCGTTCTATAACGCTAAAACGTTCTACTTATATGTCTCCGATAAAGTGTCTTTGATATGTCTTGTGAAAAACATGGCCGATTTTGGTCAGCTGATTACTGACGTTTGTAATGACTTGTTTTAAATCATCCCACGCCGCCACCTTCGTTGCATTGCGAAGTTCTAGAATTGCGAATATGACAAAATTGTAACACCAAATTTATCTTCCTTTAGACAATTTTCATTACTCTACCTTTTTAGCATTCATGTTCATTTTAACATTACAATAATTTACTATTTTGTTAAGGCCAACGACTACTAATAAATAACAACAGGAAAGTTGACACGAATCACAATCAATATGTTTGACATTGACACAAGTCAAGATACTATTTTTTTGAATTTGTAGCGATCCATAGATAAAAACTCATGAAACCATTCTTTTATCATCATTTTTCCACGAAATGGTAACATTATGTTCAATAAAGATATTTTAGTTATCGGCGGTATAACATACGATTATGAATAAAGATTTTTATCGAACGTTTGATACGCTTAAAAGACTTTTTAACTAGTATAGGTTTATTACCTTCGATAAGCGTTTTATTATAAATAAGACAGATAGACTTTAATTTCTTTTGTTGCTGGGTTCCTTTACAAATCTATTTATATGTAGATCAATAGCCACACACATAAGGCTTCACTATTTACCTTAAAACCAGCATAAACTGTTGATTTAATAATAACGAACGAAAAAAAATAACAAACTACAATAATTTTGAACAAAAAAAAACCGACTTCAAACAGGAAACTAAAAAAACATTGTCAACATTACATTACCTAATAAATTTGAGGTTTGCCCGCGATTTCTCTGGGATGCCATCATGAGATCTGGATTTCCTTACCATGGTACCACTCTTGGGATATCTTCTTTCCAACAGAAAAAGAATAATCAAAATCGGTTCATAAATGACGAAGTGATTCCCGAACATACATAAAAAAATAAAAATATATACGGTCGTATTGAGAAACCTCCTCCTTTTTGAAGTCGGTTAAAATGCCAGCTATCAGCAGTTCACAACTTTAGTTATAAAAAAGTTTAAAAGTTAAACCTAGATTTTTAACAAAACATTATCCCGCCTCGTGAAAGCCGCTTCAAAATCGGTTAAACTGATTGAGTTAAGTACAATTTTATCCATCTGGTTTAAAATTTTGGATTATTTATGGCATAAAATTTTTTTACTGTTTTTTTTTTTTCACGAAGGATATGCGTAGAATTTAAAAAGATTCGTCACTGAGATTTGGTGTCAGATTGCGAGTTAGTGTTATCTAATTACTAGATCAACTTACTTCAGGTGGCATACTAACTTTACTTGGTCTTTGGTGTTTAGGACCACTTTTAGGGTTTCGTACCCAAAGTGTTAAATTGGACCCTATTAATAAGACTCCGCTGTCTGTCTGTCTGTATCTCTGTATGTCTATCTGTCTGTCCGTCTGTCGCCAGATTGTATATC